GGGTACAATAAGAGGCGAAAAAGCAGATTCTGACTAAGATTTTATCGAAATCGGCAACTATTTGACTCAGAATGGTTGCCTTACGTCGAAATCTAATAGTTTATTAAGGTTTTCGTTACTAAAATGCCCAAAGACGCCGATTTTGACTAGAATTTGAAAGATATTGACATGAATATATAACTCTTTGTATCAAAAAATGATAGTTTAGACTGATATTTGCAGTTTTGATGCGGTTTTAGGTACGATATGAGTCGAAGAAGCCGATTTTGACTGGAATCTGTTTAAAATGACAAAGAAAAACCTATTATCAATTCAAGGAAGTGAATTTTTAAGTAGTTATCTGTAGTTTTAATGTAGATTTCAGTTCGCTAAGTTATGAAAATGCATGTTTTGGCTATAATCTTCCGTAAATCAAGGGCGAAAACCAATTATTTGTCCCAAAAGAAGGTGTTTTAAGTATATATCTGCATTTCTAAGGTAGATTTGGGTACAATAAGAGGCGAAAAAGCAGATTCTGACTAAGATTTTATCGAAATCGGCAACTATTTGACTCAGAAAGGTTGCCTTACGTCGAAATCTAATAGTTTATTAAGGTTTTCGTTACTAAAATGCCCAAAGACGCAGATTTTGACTAGAATTTGAAAGATATTGACATGAATATATAACTGTTTGTATCAAAAAATGATAGTTTAAACTGATATTTGCAGTTTTGATGCGGTTTTAGATACGATATGAATCGAAGAAGCCGATTTTGACTGGAATCTGCTTAAAATGACAAAGAAAAACCTATTATCAATTCAAGGAAGTGAATTTTTAAGTAGTTATCTGCAGTTTTAATGTAGATTTCAGTTCGCTAAATTATGAAAATGCATGTTTTGGCTATAATCTTCCGTAAATCAAGGGCGAAAACCAATTATTTGTCCCAAAAGAAGGTGCTTTAAGTATATATCTGCATTTCTAAGGTAGAATTGGGTACAATAAGAGGCGAAAAAGCAGATTCTGACTAAGATTTTATCGAAATCGGCAACTATTTGACTCAGAAAGGTTGCCTTACGTCGAAATCTAATAGTTTATTAAGGTTTTCGTTACTAAAATGCCCAAAGACGCCATTTTACGACCCCATTTTCATTCCGATTTTACGACACAACGATGACAGTTCACCGATAATAACTTGTAACCGAGGGCGACTTTTTACCGACGACGTCCTTTACCCAATATAGCCTTTTCACCCGATCGTGACTTTTTACCCAATTATGACGTTTACTCGATCACGACTTTTACCAAATAAAAATATTACATTTTCCAAATTTTTATTAAGTACACGAGTTCCAATATTTCCTGCCGCCGGTACGAACGATGACTTTTTCCGATTAAAACTCTAACCCGACAAAGACGTTCACCCGATTGAGACTTTTACCCGATTATGACTTTAATCCCATCACGAGGGTCGAAATTATTCGTTACGTTCGATACCGCGGACAATCGAACGATAGAGAAAAATACGACGATAACCCGATTCGCGACACACTATCTCATAACGTAACTAATCCTTTTTTTTTAAATGTTTCAGATCTACGAGACGTTCACAACCGGCCAAGGTTTTTTTATTATCAATACTAATTTGTTATATTTCAGGCGACCTTCAAGGTTCTTTTTAGAACCGCCAAATCGTTTTTTAAAGAATTCGTTTTCAATAATAAATAAAAATGAAATAAATTTATTTTCCCTTTCCCATTCCTTTTTCCTTTAACGTCGAACGAAACGTTTCGAGAAGAACGTTTCAAAAATACGTAATCACATATCTTAACATTTTTATTTCAATTTCAAAACGTTCTGAATCATGGTGATGTTCAATTCTAAGTTTTGATCGGTTTTTTTATTAGTTTTAATTAGATATCAAACCGCCACCGAAGAGGTTCACGGTCTAGGCAATACGTTACTTTGGTCCATTTTGGTTAGTTTCGGTTATCGCTTTGGTGATGCCAACCACCACCGAGGCGGTTTACCGTTTAGACGGTCTATATACTTCACTTTGGTCCATTTTGGTTAGCTTCGGTTATGGAAGCGGTCTATATATAGAGACGACCTATATATGGGGCGGTCTGTATATAAAGGCGATCTGTACATGGAGGCGGTCTATAAATGGACTCGGTCTATATATGCAGGCGGTCTATATATGGAGCCGGTCCGCATATGGAAGCGGTTTACATATAGAGGCGGTCTGTATATGGAAGCGGTTCATATACGAAGGCGGTCTGCATTTAGAGACCGTCCGTATATAATGGCGGTCTGTATATGGAGGCGGTTCGTATACGAAGGCGGTCTGTATATTGAAGCGGTTTGTATATTAAGGCGGTCCGTATACAAAGGCGGTCTGTATTTGGAAGCGGTCCGTATATAAAGCCGGTCCGCATATGGAAGCGGTTTACATATAGAGGCGGTCTGTATATGGAGGCGGTCCGTATACAAAGGCGGTCTGTATTTAGAGACGTTCCGTATATAATGGCGGTCTGTATATGGAGGTGGTCCGTATATGGAGGCGATCAATATATGGAAGCGGTCTGTATATCGAGGCGGTCCGTATATAAAGGCGTTCCGTATATGAAGGCGATCCCTATATAGAAGCGGTCCGTATAGAGGGGCGGTCTGTATATGGAGGCGGTTCGTATACAAAGGCGGTCTGTATTTAGAGACGTTCCGTATATAATGGCGGTCTGTATATGAAGGTGATCCGTATATGGAGGCGATCAATATATGGAAGAGGTCTGTATATCAAGGCGGTCCGTATATAAAGGCGTTCCGTATATGGAGGCGATCCCTATATGGAAGCGGTCCGTATATGGAGGCGGTCCGTATAAGAAGGCGGTCTGTATTTAGAGACGGTCCGTATATAATGGCGGTCCGCATATGGAGGTGATCCGTATATGGAGGCGATCAGTATATGGAGGCGGTCCGTATATCGAGGCGGTCCGTATACGAAGGCGGTCTGTATTTGGAGGCGGTCCGTATATAAAGGCGTTCCGTATATGGAGGCGATCCCTATATGGAAGCGGTCCGTATATGGAGGCGGTCCGTATACGAAGGCGGTCTGTATTTAGAGACGGTCCGTATATAATGGCGGTCCGCATATGGAGGTGATCCGTATATGGAGGCGATCAGTATATGGAGGCGGTCCGTATATGAAGGCGGTCTGTATTTGGAGGCGGTCCGTATATAAAGGCGTTCCGTATATGGAGCCGGTCCGCATACGGAGGCGGTCCGTATACCGAGGCGATCCATATACGAAGGCGGTCCGCATACGGAGGCGGTCCGCATACAAAGGCGATCCGTATACGCAATTTCGAGGTGGTTGGGTAAGGTTCATTAGCGAAAAATTAATTTGATTTGTTTTTTGGTGCACGTGAGGAAATAAATTAGTAGAAATTCATTTTTGTTTATGTTTGCTTATTTGTTATATGCTATGTTGTATCAGATAAATTGACAGTTGTACTAACTACTTGTTGATTTCAAAACCTGACAAGTTCGATTAAGATAAGAGGCAATATATTATTTAATGTGTTTCTGATAATGTGTTGTTAATTTTAATTAAAAATTGTAAATAATTGTTAAGAAAAGTTAAGTTTTTTTTGGCATTTGCAATAAATTTTTAATTTCAGTTTTATTAAATTGTTTTTTTTTTTACTTCATTTTATTAAGATTATTTCATAGATATAAAATAGTTTTCTGAAATGTAATAAATTAATTATTACTTATTGTTTAATTATGCATTAATTTCTAATGATGTAAAAATGTAATATAAATAAAAAAGTCTTCCACCCCTTCCGGCTCTTCTTCCACCTCTTCCGGCTCTTGTTCCACCTCTTCCATTCCGGCCACCACTTCGTTGTCCTCTTTCCCCTCTCTTATACCAAATTCCTCCCTCTACTTTTTCGTTTTCTTTTTTTTTTAATTGTTCAATTTCTACTTGTTGGATATTTGGATATTTTTTTTAAATCTTCAATTTTATCTAGACGTTAAATAAAAAACAGTATATATAGTAAATAGAATATTGTCATTATATCTGGGCTTATTTCGCATAAAAAATTGTTATGCAGAAGTAAAAAGTTTCTTGCCATATCTCTTATTTATCTCGAAAAGTAATGGGAAGAATTTTATTAGTAGTTATTTAAAGTAATTGTTATTGTATATATATTTTAGTAATGATAAACTCTTAATTTTTGCAATTTTTTGATTTTACTATTAATTAAATCTAAAAAATTAATTATTGGTTTCTTAATTAAACTTACCATTCATTTCCCTGTCTTTATTTTTTTCTTGTACATCAATAGGTGGAAGATCTGTAATATTATTTTTATGAATTTTTTATTATTTAGAAATTTTTGAAAAAATATGTGTGTCTATATTAATTGAATTTACATTTAAATGAAAATTTAGAAAAGTGCTATAGTAGGTTATTTAATTTTCAATTAATATGATATTTACTTATTGTTTAATCATGAGGTTATTATTTTTCAATATTTTTTAAATGAATTAAGTTGACGTTTTTTAAAACTATTTTGTTGAATTATTTTTTTGTTGATAAGATATTTTTATTAAAATTGTAATACTTTAGCAATTTTCTTTTGAGTAATTTATCCAAGTGTTTAAGAAAATAAATAAAAAATAATACGGTAAATACGGTATTTTTATAATAAAATAATATATACTTATCATTTAAATTATCTTCTATTTCAATGGTCGGAATTGTCATGTTTTTGGATTGTTTAAATCTGTAGATAGCGATATTAATATGTTAAGATTCAAAATTCTGTTGTCTCAATATTTTAATAACAAATTTTACGAATAACACATTACAAAATAAACTTAAGGTTCAAAGACTAGTTTTTTCGCCCCATTCAGTTTCCATTGAAATTCACGGTTTTTCTGATGCCAGTGAGATCGCGTATGGAGCCTGCATTTACATAAGATGTCTAGACAATTTTGAAAATTATTGCACTCAGTTGCTTTGTGCAAAATCCCTTAAAAACTATTACCATTCCTCGTCTCGAATTATGTGGAGCTTTACTGTTAGCAGAACTCGTTGACAAAGCAAAACGGGCTCTGAACATAAATTTTGACGAATGCTACTACTGGTGTGATTCAACAATCACTCTTGCTTGGATTAAAGGCTCGCCACATCAGTGGAAAATATTCGTCTCAAACAGAGTCACCCAAATTCAAAACTTGACTGAAACTAATTCATGGCAGTACGTCAATACTCAAGAAAATCCAGCTGATCTTCTATCTAGAGGATTAAGTCCAATCGATTTTCTCAAAAATAAATTATGGTTCAATGGAACCAAACTGGCCATCTAAACCGACCGAAGGGTGGCCCATTTTTACGACAAATACAGATTCAGATTCAGACGTACCTGAAAAACGAGTTACTAGATCATTCACCCTTGTTTCAACTGCAAACAACTTTGATTTAATCAATAAATACGCAGATTTAACAAAATTACAAAGAATAACTTGTTATTGGCTAAGATTCATTCAGAATTGTCGTCTCCCCCAAAATCAACGAAATTACGCATCTCTTTCAACAGCTGAATTAAACAATGCGTTAATGACACTCATTAATTGTTACAATATCAAGAATTTGCAGCTGCGATTAAGGATCTTTCCAAATCAAGACAAATTAAAGCAAGTAGCAAACTGATAAAACTCAGTCCTTTTTTGGATTCATTCGGCACTTTAAGAGGCGGCGGGAGATTAAAGGATTCCAATTTCAACTCCGACAAAAAATACTCCGCAATTCTGCCATCCAATCATCACCTAACAAAACTTATCGCAATGTATGAACATCGCAGATTGTTACATACCGGTGCGCAAACAGTACTAGCATCATTTCGCGGCAGATTTTGGCTCATTTCCGGAAAAAACATTGTAAAGAGGGTAACACGAGAATGTATTCAATGCTTTCGAAGTAATCCAATTCCAACCCAATATTTGATGGGCAATTTACCGCAAGTTCGTTTAACACCAAGCAGGCCTTTTCAAAACAGTGGCGTAGATTATCGTGGTCCATTTTTGTTAAAGGACAGAACAACCAAAAATTTCAAGGTAATTAAATCTTGGATTTGCTTATTTGTCTGTTTGTCCACAAAGGCAATCCACCCAGAACTGGTTACAGAATTGTCAACTAACTGTTTTCTTGCTGCCATGCAAACATTTCTTTCACGCCGTGGTATAAGCTCTCAATTATTTTCTGATCATGGCACTAATTTTGTAGGAGCAAAAAATGAATTAGAAAAATTAATCATTAAAAATCAAGACGAAATACAAAGACAATTAAGTGTTAACGGAACTACCTGGCATTTTATTCCCCCCAAAGCACCTCATTTCGGTGGCCTCTGGGAGGCTGGAGTTCGTTCGACAAAATACCATTTAAAACGAGTGTTAAAGGACACACCTTTAGCCTATGAAGAATTTTCAACGATTTTATGCCAAATTGAAGCTTATTTAAATTCCCGGCCATTAACTCCTCTCAGTTCAGACCCCAATGATCCTCAAGCCTTGACACCTCCGCACTTCCTGATTGGAGAAAGGCTGACAAAAATTCCCGAATCGGACTTCACACCAATACCAGAAAACCGTTTATCGAAGTTTCAAAGATGTCAACGTCTAGTACAACACTTCTGGAAGCGTTGGTCCAACGAATTTATATCGGAACTGCAGCAAAGGCAGAATTGGACTAAATGCTATCCGAAATTGCTAAAGCCAGGTTCCTTGGTTATCATCAAGGAGGACGATTTGCCCCCATTGAAATGGAAGCTTGGAATCGTACAAGATGTTCATCCAGGAAGTGACGGAATAGTTCGTGCAGCAACTGTAAAGACACCATCCACAACTATAAAGCGACCAGCAGTCAAACTTTGTCTCCTTCCGAATGATGACAATCAAACATCCGTTGAAGCCTAGCGGCTGTCAAGGCGGCCGGCATGTTAGGCACAAATCGCACGTTCTGGCAACGTCGCATACAACCGACACCGCAGCATCACAGCTGAGATGAACTGTCTAATTTTGTGTTCTGTGTTCGACCCGGGTCCATGCCCATATATAGTCAAGAATAAAATCTCGCAATGTCAACACGTGTGTGTTTGATTTCTACTCAAAAAATCACAAGAAATTAAGCTACGAATTTAGAGTTGTAACATTAAACGACTCAACAGGCGTGAAAGATTTCTGTAGAGACGTATATAATCATGTACAAAATTCTCCAAAACGTATTGGAGATTTCAAAATATTTCAAGCATTCACAAATATTAAACCACACAAATTACTCCACCCTAGAAAAACCAGATGGTTGTCGCTTATGGAGGTAGTAAATAGGCTTCTAGAACAATTACCAGCTCTCAAATTGTATTTTCAAGCTGCAGTTCATGTAGATATATTACTTTCTGTGCAATAAATTCTCTCCAAGGCTCTCGAACCGACAACTGAATTGTACCTGGATTTTTTGAAATTTGCATTACCTATATTTAACGATCTCAATAAAGAAATGCAATCCGAGACTCCGAAATTATATTTACTATACGACAAAATACTGAACGCATACACAACGATCTTGGAATGCTTTGTAGAAGCTGAATATTTGAATCTCACTGAACAAGAAAAAAATGAAGCACAAAATATTTTATACGCAAAAGAAACTAAAATATTAAACCTTGACTTCTCGAGTGAGCAGAAACATTTACCGATGCAACATATATACGTTGGTGGAATGATGCCAAATTTGATCAGAAGAAAGAGAGAAGTAGGAGAAGTAGAGGAAGAACAGCTGAAAAATTTCTACTTAAAGTGTTATATCGAGGCTGCAAAACAGAAAGGTTTCCTTTTGACGACAAAGACCGTCAAGCATTAAGAAGTCTGAAGATGCTAAATCCTAAAGCAATTCTGGATCCTGAAATAAAAAAGAAATTCCCTTCCATTGCAGATTTACATTATTTCTTCCCAAAGATTTGTCCAAATAATATAATGGAACTAGATGGAGAATGGCGAATGTTAAGAAATGTCGATTTTTCTTTCGACCAAAACAAAACTCTCGATATTATCGACTTTTGGAAACATGTACAAGAATTAAGAAATGGAGACGAATCTCAAACATTCCCTACATTGTGTGAATTGGTAAAAAAGCTTTTGTGCCTACCACATAGCAGCGCCGCCGTGGAAAGGTTATTTTTTACTATAAATATTATGAAAACCAAATTACGCAATAGAATATCGACTACAACTATTAAAGGAGTATTACACACTAAATCCGAAATAACTGATTGCTATTCATTTGAAGCTACAGAAAAGCACATGAAGAAATTCAACAAAAACATGTATGATTTTAAAAATAAAAATGAGTGTGAAAATATTGAAGATGAGGCAATTGAAAATGAAACTGAAAAATAATTTTACTTTGATTTTTGTTTTATGTTGCTGTGATTATAAATATATCAATTTATGTGAGTTCTAGTAACTAAGAAAGTTGTTTATTATTTAATTATAAGAGCAAACTTATGAAATCTGCCTTTTTCTTTACTTCCAGTGGCCAAGGAGTCGTGCAATATATCTGTCGGTCTTGAAACTTTACTAAAACGAAAATTAAATATCCGCTCAAAGACAGTCCACACAATTGGTATTAGTAAATCTTATGATTATAAACATTCTAGGAAGATACGAGATATGTAGCGCCAAAATTCAAAATAACAAATCTACTATCAGTCCCATTGATATTATAATTAAAACTTTCTCTGACGGAAATAATGTAATTAAGCATTGGCAGCTCAAAGCATTCATTTTCGAGCGGCAGTCACCAAATGTCATGAAAATTTTCAATAATTACTTATTTTAGTAGTGCATACAATTTCATAATTCCAAAGTTTTGTACTTAGTATAATTTAAAAACAAAATTGACCATTTTCTGTGGTTAAATGATGCAATAAAAATTTTGCAAAGAGTTAATATAAAATTTGCATTGTAAGAAAATTGTAATATAAACGGTAACGTATACGTTATATAAAGGTGCAAGAGTACTTAAATTTAATAAAATATGCACTAACCAAAACTGATTAATTTTTTATAATTCATCCCATAAAAAAAACAATAAGTTGTTATTCAACTTACTTTTCTTTGACACTTTTTTTGATACATATACAGAGTCAGCAGTTAGAGGCTATAAACTTAAACATGTAGGGTTCTAATGAATCTACTATTAACGACCAGGCATTAAAAATTCAAAATAAGTTTTTTTTTGTTTTTACATTTAATTTGATTGTTTTGACTTCAATAACTACATATTATAAGCCACTAGCTATAGACGATAGCACGATAACATAAGTTTAATAACGAACTTAGATTTAAAGCATGTGGATAGCGGTAAAAAGGTATTGTTTCCTATAATCGAATTTGGAAAAATAATGATTGTCAACAATTAAATGAAATGCGATAGCAGTAATTTGATAACGTTTAAAAGTCGCACAACTATCGTAAAGTTTAGTGTTGTGTAGAATGTATTATTCTTAAGCACACCATAAGAAAGCAAATTCATTTTTTTTGCCTTTTAGAAGTTACTTAACGGCTCATTTCATCAATTAATTGTGAAAAGTTTGTTTTATGTTTGTCGTGAATTTGAAGTGATTCTGAATAGATAAAATTCCTTTCAAACATTAAAAAAAATCATTATAATATAATAATATATTATCGATCGGTTTGCAACTTTCGATATGTTTTTAAAAAAGGTAAGTCCGAAAGATTAATTTTTTAGAACTAGATTCATATATATCAAAGAGTCCAAAAAATAGATATTCATAAAAATACAATGTGTAAAAACGCACTTATTCACGCCTGGGAGTTAGGGGAAGAGTTTTGAAGTACCAGTTAAGGGGTTCACAGATTTTCCTTTTTCTCTAAATAAAATATACAATAAAGGACTATTATTTCCTTTTTACCTTTAGTGATCCAAATGCGATTTACTCCAACTTGTTCATAGTTGAGGATTTTAACTATCTTTGACATAATAAAAAAAATTTTTAAACCTTTGCCATCTCAATAATGAAACATTTTGTTTATATGAACTTTCCTGAAAAGGTACCTATTTGTGTAAAATAGTGAAATAATACTGGTAGCACCCCTTTTGTTCTAGAAATTTTAGAACTCCTTAATTTTTCAAAGAAACTTCTGTCTCTACACCTCGAAATTGCTTCCATCTTGTCCCCATCCGAGTTCGGTACACTTTCAAGCATGATTCATGACAAAGCTTTAAATCTTCGTTTATCTTCTACCCAAAATCACATTCAGAAAATTGAAAAACTAACGTCAACACTAGG